ATATATATATATATAGTAAACTCGTTATTTTATGTTTGACAACGCTAGTGTTGGTAAAGTAGTTATCGATAAATTGTGTAGAGTATTGCAGCCTAAGTTATTTTGTTTCGTATTCGTTGTGCATGTCATATTTTAAATTTAATTGTGAAAGATGGTTTGAAACATATTAAAGATGAAATGCAAAGATTTAGAAATGCATTAATATATCACGATCTCTCCCAGTAGAAAACAAGTATTTGAGGGGTTTTGCGTGAATTTAGGGTGATGAATACGAAAATATTTGTTAATGACATAGGGTATAGATGAAACTCCACCTATGTATTATTAAAGTCATGCGAAGGTTTTGAACATTTAATAACTGACTTTATAATAATAGGCATATTAGAAACGATGACGACATTATTTTGAATGAATCTGATTGGCTTTTAGCTTTTAAAAGTTAAAAAAAAATTGACAAGTTTTTATGACTCTACCAATATTTTATCTGGAGCTTACTATCACACTGACTATATGTTGCTTGAACATCTTTATATAATTAAAATGACATTTCATAAATAAAAAAATGACCCCGATTTTAGTACAATTATATATTCCACGAAATTAAAGTTTAGAAAATATTGGAAAGACTTGCCTAAATTATTTCTTTTAGCATGCATCATGGACCCTCGTATAATTTATCAAGGACTAAATATGTGACTAACAAGAATTCAGGAGTTTTAACTTTTAATACACCTATCACGTATAAAAATTTAGAACAAACTTTATGCGAAATATATGAATTATATGCAGAATGAATGGGTATAAATATTAGTTGAGTATACTCTACACCTACTCCCTTCCACTGATATTGTAAAGATGAAGTTGAAATATTAACTTTATTCGAAGGCATTAACACGTGTAGATATGATGCAAATGCAATTAAGTTCATCTATTAATAATTTGTCTTATGTGTGTAATCAAACATCGGACGCAAGTTCAAATACATAGCTTGTTGAATTAATTAATTACTTTAATTATAATATGTCTACCAACAAAATAATTATAAAAAGTTCAGAAGAAGTTATTAAATTATGGCGAAGGTACAAACGACGATGGCCAGTACTATTACACCTTCGGTTAACACTATAGTTTCGAAATCTATTTTTAGTACAAGTAAAAGGGTCTTGTCCGAGGTCAGATGCGAATCAAAAAAAAATATTTTAGAAGCATTAATGTGCGTGAAGGATTGACAAGATGTTCATTTTCGACTACAAGATAAATATGTTGAAATTTCATGTCGTCAATAAGTGATATTTAATTTAATCACATAAATCCAAATTTTTTATTTTATAATATTGCTTTTAATTTTCTTTAAAAAAAAATTGTACAAAGTTATATTTGACTCCACCTCGAAATTTAAGTAGTTGGTCCAAGTCCAAATAAAGAATGAGATTTATATTTTATCTATATTTCTTTAAAAAAAATAAAAACTACACAAGCTCATGAATAAACCGAGCTCATCTTTCAAGTAATGAGCTAAGCTTATGCTTGGCTCATGATGAGCACGAGCACGAGCTGAGCTCGTGAGTATAAGGGCGAAGTTCTTCACTTGTTCCACAACATTTTTTCTTGATATTTTACGAACATTTCATAAATATAGGAATATGACAATTTTTGTTAATGTAGTTTACTCTATGAAATTAAAATTTCATATTGGAATCCGACTCGTCCCATCGCCATCGCTAGTTTCACTTGTTTTACAACAAATTCTTTTTATATTTCACAAACATTTCATAAATATAAGAATTTACCAATTTTTGTTAATGTAGTTTACTTTATGAAATTAAAATTTTATAAATATTGGAAGTAATTGCCCTTTTTATTTCTTTCAGTTTCGATTATGGACCCTCGACTTAATTTATCTGGCACAAAAACTATTATAATGGGTTTTCAAATTTCATGAATGTTGAATTATAACATGTGCATATAGAATCTATATTATATGAAATATATATAACTTTTATGTTGAAAAGGAGGTTGAGGTAGCTCCATATCTCAAAGTTCTTTTTCGAGAAATATTTCAACGAATTCAGATGATATATGAAATTATTTGGACACCCATACAAGTGTTCTCTCATTTAGTTCTAATTCATCAATATCTAGAGTGATAGATGTTAATGGTACAAATTTTGAAATTCCCCTTGAATTAGCTAGACATGTGCGTGAATGTACATAGTGTGTTACAACCAAAATGATTACAGGAATTTAATATTCTATCATGATCGTGGTGTAACCAAAGGCAGTATCTAATTGTATAAAATATTACACGTGATCTTCTAACACCTCTGGTATCTATGGTGGCATCAAATGCTGCATTTAGTTTACGTGGTCGAGTTTTATCAAACGAACGATCAAGACTAAAAGAAAATATATTTGAGGCTTTAATATGCTTGATGAATTGGAAATGTGCAAAATTAAGTATTCAAGAAAAAGTGGATAGTGTAATGGTCGAAGAGTTGCAACAAATCCAAGCATAAGGATATTGTCAATTTTGAATTGATTAGGTTAAAAAAATACTTGATTTTTAAATTTATTTGTTTCAAGAAAAATTATGCACAAAATATTTTATTCGTATACAATTTTAAATTTGTATACATGGATTGTAGACGGTCCAACACTCAGAAAAAGGAAAATGGTTGTAACTTTTATTTAATTTATAATTCGTATAAATTGTACAAATTTTGAGTTCTTTAAACAAAAGTTATAATTGTCACAAATTTAAAAAGAAACAAAAAGGCAAGGTTGGCTCGCTAAGGCCCGAACCTAGATTTTTTGGCCCAACAAAACCTCGTCTTACCTCGACGCGGCCCGGCCCAGCCCGGCCCGGCCCAAAAAGGCTCAAACCATTTTTAGACTCAACCCGGCCCAAAAAGGCTCGAACCATTTTTACTCAAACAGAGCCTGAATTTCAAATTTTGGCTCATTGACATTCCTACTTCTAGCATAGTATGTACTAGTGACATATTAACCTCTATTATATTTTGACAAGTGCTTTTACGCAAAAAATATACATGCCTATATGTGTGTGCAACCGTGAAGGTGTGTGTAACCCTGAAGATGTGTGTACCACCAGAACGTCAAATGGGTCGATCCAAATATTTCTATATTTGAATCCACTCATTACAATTCGGGTATTTCGTAAATAGAATCATTCGAGTTCATATAATTATTGAAACCAAATCCAAACTCAAACCATTGGTTCCATTCGATTCAATATGCTTTGGATGTTTACTGTGATGTTTTGNAACAAAGTATATAGATCAAAAGAGGTTCTATGTGGACTAAAGCAATCTTCTAGAGCACGGTTCAGTAGGTTACTAAAGTTATGTTGGTTATGATGGATAAGTAGTCAAGAACACACTCCGTTCATTAAGCACCCAGCCTATAATGCACCCATACAAACACACGTGTCCAACAAAATACATGTCAATCATGTCAACGCAATTTTTCAAAAAAGTATTGACACAATATATCACCAACACATTGATTAAATTCTTTAAAAAAATTTATTTATATAGTATAAATTTAGTTTAATAATTGTTATTGATTTTTCTGGTTGAAATCTTTTAAATATGAATACATATTTGTCATTTAATAATAAATTTGAATTAAAATTATAAAGTATTTCTAATAAAAAAAATGATCATACTAGAGTATTTGATGAGTGTTTGTATCCGAAAGCTACGATCTTAATTGTACATGATGATACAAGTGTAATAGGTAATGATGCAGAAGAAAAGGACTTTCTACAAAAAAAACTAGCAAAGAAATTTGACAAAGAAACTTAGTAAACTTATATACTTCTTTGGAATTGAAGTAGAACACTCAAAAATGGAATTACTATAAAAGTATGTACTCGATCAAATTAAGGAAATAGGCATCATGAAGAAAGTAATCAAGCTACTGCACCTACTGAAGCGAATCAAAAGCTTAGTCAAGCTGATGAGGAAGCAACAATAAGCCAAGGGAGATACCAGAAGTTAGTAGGCAAAATGACATATCTATCACATACAGAGCTGGATATAGCCTATGTTGTAAGTGTAGTAAGTCAATTCATGTACAAGCAAAAAGAGACACATCTCCAAGTTGTTTACAGAATCTCGAGCTATCCCCAGTGAAAGGTATAATGTTTAAAAAGAATGCAGAATTGTGTTTAGAAGCTTATACAGATGCTCACTGCGCAGATTGTTGTGCATAGGATATCAACCTCAGCTATTGTACTTCCATTGGAGGAAACTTGGTAACGTGGAGAAGCAGGAAAAAAGTTGTGGCAAGATCAATGCAAAAGCTGAATTTGGAGCCATGGCACAAGGGAATCTGTGACCTTCATGGCCAAGAATCATTCTTGAAGATCTAAAAATCAAATGGCACATGACAACAAAACTTTTTTTCTTATAACAAGTCAGCTACCATTATTGCTCACGAATCACGATTTAGTTCAGTATGACCAAACTAAACATGTGGCAGTAGACAGGCATTTCATAAAAGATAAGCTAGATAGTGGACTATTGTGCACACCATACATTTCAACGAGTGGACAACTTGCAGACATCTTAACTAAGGGACTAAGGAATCCTTCATCTTAACAATCACAAGCAAGCTGGGAATGAATAATATCTATTCATCAGCTTAAAGAAGAGTGTAAGAACATTGATGATATCCTGAATATTAGGAAATCCGTGTATTTTAGGAAACAAATATGTATCGGAAATCAGTACAACTGTAAATATTTCAAAATTATAGTCCAGTCAGTTACCACTAGGTTAATCCCTTGATTGAAGGGAGTGATATATTTAGTCTTTTCCAAAATTAGGTGACATGTCATGTATATATATTCTCTCTTTTCACCACAAAACTAAAAGGTGCAAGATGGGCCTCTTAGATATGTGATCTTACACAGCATTTAACAACAAAAGCAGCATCATGTACTGAAATATATAAAAGCATTAGTAGTTACAAAGTACACAAGTAAAATGAGTTTACCTGGGATGGTGCCTGCTAATCAAGCTTTGCATTAACTTGTCAGCAGATGAGTTTCCATGAAGAAGTGGCAGTTTCTGCTTCAAATAACTTCCCACGTGACAAGTTGTATTTGATTCAGTCATAACAACAGTCTCTTGAACCAACTCAGGCGTTGTGCCAGCAGTTGTATTTGATTCAGTAATATCTCCAGTCTCTTGAACCAGCTCAGGCTTTGTGTCCAAAGCTATATTTGATTCAGTAATAACTCCAGTCTCTTGAACCAACTCAGGCATTGTGTCAGCATTTTCATCATCGCCAAAGTCAAACAGATGCAACATTTCCTCTTTAGACATTGTTCTATGTACCTGTTGCCTATCAACCACCCTTGCTGCAAGACCTTCCTTAGTCACCTGTTGAATTGTTCTTCAGTAAGCTATTATATGGATTATGAACTCATGCAAAATCACTTTCATCTCTCACTACCTGACGCTTATAAATTTTTTCCTCCATTGTTCCGTGTGCCAGCAAACGATATGCAAAGACAGACTTTGTTTGGCCATATCTGCACAGCACGAAGTGCTATACATTAACACACTTCAACTGTGTTTACATATTTGCTAGAAAGAAGATTGTGACATAAACACACCTCCAAACCCGATATATAGCTTGAAGATCATATGTTGGGTTCCAAGAGCCATCGACAATAATTACTCGGTTAGCAGCATGAAGGTTGATGCCAAGAGAGCCAGCCCTTGTAGATATCAAAGTGCATTTGACCCTTCTATTTGAAGGCTCATTGAACCTCTCAACAAGTTTCTGCCTCTCAAAGCTCTCTGTTCGTCCATCAAACCTGTTGTAGATGAAGCAAGAAAACAAATGAATCTTCTATCACAATCATGAAAAGAAAGATTTTTCAGTTGAATGAAATCTATATGGAGACTTCAACGATGTCTTGAGTCACTAAAATACCTGTTACAACAACAGCACATAAACATATACAAGGAATAACCAAGAAACATGATAATTAACAAGAAATATATCCATTTAAGATTTTCTAATGTCTGTTAATATGGCATGGCAACAAAAACTTCGAGATTGGAAATTTATTAAATAATTTCATCACTCGAGTTACTTGTGACTTAACATTTCTTTGTTCCCTGGCACAACAAAGAGGAATTGAAGCTCACTAATCAAGCTCATACAACTGCTACAAACTAAAGTTGACAAGTATTAAGTCATTAAAGAGGACCGGGTCAATTGCATTCTACAGAAAAGTATCTCCATCCATCACAATGAGAGTGGTTTTCACGAAAGGATAACTAATAAATCATGCTATCAAGTTAAAAATGGTATATACCAAAATTATACCTTGGTGAAGACATTATTTCTTTAGGTGATTGACTCTGTGTAGAGTTAATATGTCATCTTATTTTTTGAGCCCATAACAACTTTGTGAGGACCATTCCATGCCATTAATATAAGAAAATAAATGGCATAGACAATACCCAGTATGATAGGAAAATGCACATTACAAATTAATTAAATATCAAGGAGCGCAAAAAGTTGATGACTCCAAAACTAAATAGTAACGTAAAATGAGTTACAACAATTTTTATTTAACTACCACAAAGGATATATTAGTTTTCGAATGCTTATAATGCTGTATACACACCTGTACCAGTCCTTCCCTTTTTTCCAGCATTTTCCCTTTTTCCCAGGACGAAGCAATTTTGAAAGATAAAACTCGATTAGATCCAAAGTTGATAGACTCTGGCTAAAAACCAGGGCCTTATCACCCATACTGGAGCTCATTTTTAGGATATCAAGTAGCAAAACCATTTTGCCACTGTAATCAACCTCCTTATAGTTATTTTCCTGAAGGAGATCTCGCCACCAATCCTGTTAGCAGAATGTCCGATTAAACAAATTAGGCAAAGAACAAGGAAAGGAACTCGAAGTAATTGAGCAGGTAAATTACATGGTTATCAATATATAAACAAGGTACAATTAATTCAGGGATGACTTACCAGACAACACAAAAAATGGATACTATTATGCATACAGCATTATATCAAGCAAGACAATTTTCCCTTGGGGAGGGGGGAAGAAGGGCACATAAAGAAAGAGGTGCACACACCTCATGAAGAAATCCATTATCATTTTTCCTGGGAGGATTGACCTGCTTCTCTGCAAGAAACATGGGAACCTCAATAATATATAGCACGAAAAATGAGAGAGAGAACCTATTGAGGGCACGTGAAAGAAAATGCAAACAGCAAGTCAGAAACATCATCACTGCTTGTCTCAGGTAAATGTCAATATTATAAAGTCCAGATCCACTAATATAGTAGAATAATGGAAGTACAAAGATTTTTTTTTGATAGGTAATAATGGAAGTACAAAGATAGAAGAAAGAAGTATCAAAAGGGAACTATCAAAGCAAGTGTTAGTAAAAGACTCACCGTGAAGTAGCGGCATAAAAAGAAGTATTCACACAAGAGAAGATTGATAGATGCATAGATTAGGATAAGTGTTGGAACTAATATTTAACATTTAGTTTAGAGGAAGAAGTCAAGTTAAAATCATGGGAATGAGGTAAGTAAAAAGGATATGACCCTTTTTCATTGGCATAGATGAGTGGAAAGACAGGATCATGTAACTGCCTAGACATATATATATGCAACACGTCTTTGTGGACTTGAGTATACAAACAAGTAGATCTTTGACATGCACCCTTGTGTGTCAAGGCTAGCATCCCACACAGACACCCTATTTCAATAAATCACTTGAGTGTGATACAGCTATCACATGGTTTGTTGACATGGATGTCACAGTATATCGACACAATTAAAAAAAAAAAAGGGGGCAGGGGGGGGGGGGGGGGGAAAA